TGGGACCTGAGACTCTTGAAGAATCTTTTCCATTCTTTGGTTATGTATGGAAAGATAGAAATAAAATGACTACTATTTTAGGTATTCACTTAATTTTGTTAGGTATAGGGGCTTTTCTTTTAGTATTTAAGGCTTTTTATTTTGGAGGTCTATATGATACCTGGGCTCCAGGAGGGGGAGATGTAAGAAAAATTACCAACTTAACCCTTAGTCCAAGCATTATATTTGGTTATTTACTAAAATCGCCTTTTGGGGGAGAAGGTTGGATTGTTAGTGTAGACGATTTGGAAGATATAATTGGGGGACATGTATGGTTGGGTTCCATTTGTATACTTGGTGGAATCTGGCATATCTTAACCAAACCTTTTGCATGGGCTCGGCGTGCACTAGTATGGTCTGGAGAAGCTTACTTATCTTATAGTTTAGGTGCTTTAGCCGTTTTTGGTTTTATAGCTTGTTGCTTTGTCTGGTTTAATAATACTGCTTATCCTAGTGAGTTTTATGGTCCCACTGGACCGGAAGCTTCTCAAGCTCAAGCATTTACTTTTCTAGTTAGAGACCAACGTCTTGGAGCTAATGTAGGCTCCGCTCAAGGGCCTACCGGTTTAGGTAAATATCTAATGCGTTCTCCGACCGGAGAAGTCATTTTTGGAGGAGAAACTATGCGTTTTTGGGATCTGCGTGCTCCCTGGTTAGAACCTCTAAGAGGTCCTAATGGTTTGGACTTGAGTAGACTGAAAAAAGACATACAGCCTTGGCAAGAACGTCGTTCCGCGGAATATATGACTCATGCTCCTTTAGGTTCTTTAAATTCCGTCGGTGGCGTAGCTACAGAGATTAATGCAGTCAATTATGTATCTCCTAGAAGTTGGTTAGCTACTTCTCATTTTGTTCTAGGATTCTTCCTATTCGTAGGTCATTTATGGCACGCGGGACGAGCTCGCGCAGCTGCCGCAGGATTTGAAAAAGGAATTGATAGAGATTTTGAACCTGTTCTTTCCATGACTCCTCTTAATTGAGACATGAAATCCAATGCTTGACGTAAGAATCACTTTGATTTTAGTATACATATTGGGTTGAGTCGAGCAGATCATATTGAAAAAATATTTTGTTTTTCAATTCATTTATATCTAATCTTTTTTCGGGCTCGGCTATATCACCACTTAGCCGAGCCCAAAAAACCGAGCCAACCTAAATCAAGAATCAATAAAATAAAAAAATCCATTCGCCAAGAAAAAGGAGAGAGGGGGATTCGAACCCTCGATAGTTATTTGTTTCAAACTATACCGGTTTTCAAGACCGGAGCTATCAACCACTCAGCCATCTCTCCAAAAGCTAATTTCTATTTTATCTTTATTTCACTCAAGAGAACATGACCATACGAATTCATACCCTGTTATCTATCTATGAGAAAGATATCTAGTGTGAATCTATTGGTCTAGTTCTCTATCCGTATATATTATATATACATGATCCAGCATGCTCTTTTGTGAAATAAAAAAAACTACCCCTCGATCCATGCCTCAATAAGGGGTGTTATCTAAAATCAATGGATTCATGAAAAAACCCTCCATAATGATAATGTGTTTTTTATTTCTTTTTTGAAAGGGGTCAAAAAAAAGGGGTTGGGGGATCAAATGGTATAGTTCTTTTGTTGGTCAATTAGAAGATTATAAACATGACTATTGCTTTTCAATTAGCTGTTTTTGCATTAATTGTTACTTCATCCATTTTATTAATTAGTGTACCTGTTGTATTTGCTTCTCCTGATGGTTGGTCAAGTAACAAAAATGTTGTATTTTCCGGTACATCATTATGGATTGGATTAGTATTTCTAGTGGGTATTCTTAATTCTCTCATCTCTTGAAACTATTCATTCTAGATCAAAAAACGAAATGACCCCTCCCCCCGAATTCTTTCGGGTTGTGAGGCACATTAAAATGGAATATATAAGACCCCACACAGAAAGAAAACTAAAACATTTTTATTATTAATGGGAGGGGTCAAACTTCTTCTATTGGAAAAAGCTTATATCTTATCCTGAATATGATATATAGTAAAACGAAAATATTCATATTATTTTTTTAATATAGAATATACTAATTTGAATTCTATTCTAGAAAAAAATAAGAATAGAATATTAAGAATTCTTAATAGAAACGAATATTAATAGAAAATCGTATATTTCGAATAGAAAGATATAGATATTCCATAATCTATTATCTATAAAATATATATGGATTTCGACTTTTCTTGATCACTCCTAATAGATATCAAACACCGCTCTGCACAAATCGAATTGATATATCAAGTAAAAAGTACAATATAGAAAGTATAAAGTACAATAAAAAGAAAAACGCGGATATAGTTTAATGGTATAATTTCTCTTTGCCAAGGAGAAGACGCGGGTTCAATTCCCGCTATCCGCCGTTGCTTATGTATTGAATAGTACATTTATCTATCTATTTCAAAAATAGAAAATAGTGAATTCCAATTTTTATCAAAAATGTTGCGGAGACAGGATTTGAACCCGTGACCTCAAGGTTATGAGCCTTGCGAGCTACCAAGTTGCTCTACTCCGCCATAAGAAGAACAAATGACAATGAATGGAAAACAGAGATTGAATGTACCCCTCCACCATATCTGTACAAATAGAATAAACCATTGATACAGAATGGTAAAGGGACCGTCCTATGATCGCGGATCATCAAAATGAATAAAAAAAATGAAGATAATTTTTTATTCTTACCAACTCGATCTTGTTGCACCGGGCAACAAACATTCGTGAACCATTTCACGAAGTACGTGTCCAGATAATCCAAAGTGTCGATAATTACCTCGTGGTCTTCCGGTCGCAAAACAACGTCGATGAAGACGTGTAGGTGCACTATTACGCGGTAGTACTTCCAACTTTCCCTGAATTTCCCATTTCTCACTTAACGATTGAGCTTTGCTCATTTCTTTTTTTGGAGATCGTCGAATCAAATGATATTTTTGTTCCAATTTTTGCCTCTTCTTCTCCCTCTCAATTACACTTTTCTTTGCCATGCTGATTCATTTCCTGTATCAATGATAGAAGTCGGATCCTAAGATGTCGAAAATTGAAGAAGGTGGTTCCCCTTCTTCATACAAAGAGATTCAATTTTTGCAGATACAATAAAGAATCAAATTAACCAAATTAACCAAATTTACCGGATGTAGAGGCAATCAAGAAAGCTGCATAAGTAAATATATAACCTACCGAAAAGTGGACTAATCCAACCAATCTTGCTTGGACAATGGAAAGAGCCACAGGTTTATCTCTCCATCGAATCAAATTCGCCAAAGGTGTGCGTTCATGAGCCCATGCTAAAGTTTCAATCAATTCCTGCCAATATCCGCGCCATGAGATTAAGAACATAAATCCAGTAGCCCAAACAAGATGTCCAAATAAGAACATCCACGCCCAGACGGATAAACTATTCATACCAAAGGGGTTATATCCATTGATAAGTTGTGAAGAATTTAACCATAGATAATCTCTTAACCATCCCATCAAATAGGTTGAAGATTCATTAAATTGTGAAACATTACCCTGCCATAATGTAATGTGCTTCCAATGCCAATAAAAAGTAACCCATCCAATGGTATTTAACATCCAGAAAACAGCCAAATAAAATGCGTCCCAAGCAGAAATATCACAAGTACCACCTCGTCCCGGACCATCGCAAGGAAAACTATAACCAAAATCCTTTTTATCCGGCATTAACTTGGAACCACGTGCATCTAAAGCACCTTTTACTAAGATCAATGTAGTTGTATGTAAACCAAGAGCAATAGCATGATGAACCAAGAAGTCTCCAGGCCCTATTGTTAAGAATAGAGAATTACTATTCTCATTAATAGCATTTAACCAACCCGGCAACCATATGCTTCGCCCCGCATTGAGCGCCGGACTATTCGTTGAAGATAAAAGTACATCGAAACCATATGAAGTTTTACCATGAGCAGATTGTATCCATTGGGCAAATATAGGTTCGATCAAGATTTGTTTCTCCGGAGTGCCAAAAGCAAGCATGACATCATTATGGACATAAAGTCCCAAAGTATGGAACCCCAGAAATAGGCTGGCCCAACTTAAATGGGATATGATAGCTTCTTTGTGCTCTAACATTCTTGCCAATACATTATCCTCATTCTGTTCGGGATTGTAATCTCTAATAAAAAAGATAGCTCCATGAGCAAAAGCCCCTGTCATAATAAATCCTGCAATGTATTGATGATGAGTATATAACGCAGCTTGAGTAGTAAAGTCTTGTGCTATAAACGCATAAGCAGGTAAAGAGTACATGTGTTGAGCTACCAAAGAAGTAATGACCCCTAACGAGGCTAGAGCAAGGCCTAATTGAAAATGAATTGAATTATTGATTGTGTCATAAAGACCCTTATGTCCACGCCCCAATCTACCCCCCGGAGGAATATGCGCTTCTAAAATATCTTTTATACTGTGCCCAATACCGAAGTTAGTTCTATACATATGACCAGCAATGAGAAAAAGAATTGCAATAGCTAAATGATGATGGGCCATATCGGTAAGCCATAAACTTTGCGTTTGAGGATGGAATCCCCCGAGAAGTGTTAGAATGGCAGTTCCCGCGCCTTGCGAAGTACTAAATAAATGATTACTAGAATCGGGGTTTTGAGCATAAAGATTCCACTGACCCGTCAAAAGTGGCCCTAATCCTTGAGGGTGGGGCAATACACTTAAGAAATTATTCCATCGAACATATTCTCCTCTGGATCCTGGAATAGCCACATGGACTAAATGCCCTGCCCAAGCTAAGGAACTGACTCCAAATAGTCCTGACAAATGATGATTGAGGCGCGATTCGGCATTTTTAAACCACGAAACGCTCGGTTTCCATTTTGGTTGTAGGTGTAACCAGCCCGCTAATAAGGATATGAAAGAAAGAAATAATAGAAAAATAGCTCCAGTATAAAGATCCTCATTAGTACGTAAACCAATTGTATACCACCACTGATAAACACCGGAATAGGCAATATTCACTGGGCCAAGAGCACCCCCTCGAGTAAAAGCTTCTACAGCCGGTTGACCAAAATGGGGATCCCAAATTGCATGAGCAATAGGTCTTACATGTAAAGGATCCTGTACCCATGCCTCAAAATTTCCTTGCCAAGCTACATGGAAGAGATTCCCGGAAGTCCACAGAAAAATTATTGCTAATTGTCCGAAATGAGAAGCAAAAATATTCTGATAAAGACGTTCCTCAGTAATATCATCATGACTCTCGAAGTCATGTGCGGTAGCAATACCAAACCAAATACGACGAGTAGTGGGGTCCTGAGCTAAGCCTTGGCTAAACCTTGGAAATCTTAATGCCATAATGCTTTTCAAATCCTCCTAGCCATTATCCTACTGCAATAATTCTTGCTAAGAAGAATGCCCACGTTGTGGCAATTCCACCCAGAAGGTAATGTGTTACTCCTACAGCACGTCCCTGTACAATGCTCAAGGCTCTAGGCTGAGTAGCAGGAGCAACTTTTAATTTATTATGAGCCCAAACGATGGATTCAATAAGTTCTTGCCAATAACCACGCCCGCTGAATAGAAACATTAAACTAAAAGCCCATACAAAATGGGCGCCTAAGAAAAAAAGACCATATGCCGATAATGAGGAACCATAAGACTGAATTACCTGGGATGCCTGCGCCCATAAGAAATCGCGAAGCCACCCATTAATGGTAATCGAACTCTGGGCAAAGTTTCCTCCTGTGATATGAGTTACTACTCCTTGATCATTTATACTTCCCCAAACATCTGACTGCATTTTCCAACTGAAATGGAATATTACTACAGAAATTGCATTGTACATCCAAAATAATCCTAGGAAGACATGATCCCAAGCGGATACTTGGCATGTCCCCCCTCTTCCAGGGCCATCACAAGGGAACCGAAAACCGAGATTTGCTTTATCCGGTATCAATCGTGAGCTACGAGCAAATAGAACACCTTTTAGGAGTATCAATACCGTTACATGAATAGTAAATGCATGAATATGATGTACCAAAAAATCTGCAGTTCCTAATGGAATAGGTAACAAAGCTACTTTACCGCCCACTGCCACTAAATCACCACCGCCCCAAGTCAAACTGGTGCTTGTTGTTGCACCAGGGGCTGTTGTGCCAGGTGCTAAAGCATGAGTATTTTGTATCCATTGAGCAAAGACAGGTTGTAATTGTATAGCGGTATCTGAAAACATATCTTGAGGGCGCCCTAAAGCACTCATGGTATCATTATGAATATACAACCCAAAACTGTGAAAGCCTAAAAATATACACACCCAGTTGAGATGTGATATGATTGCATCACGATGTCTAAGAACACGATCTAATAGATCGTTGTATCGAGTAGTTGGATCATAGTCTCTTACCATAAAAATGGCTGCATGTGCAGCAGCACCAACTATGAGAAAGCCCCCAATCCACATGTGATGTGTGAACAATGACAGTTGTGTACCATAGTCAGTAGCTAGGTATGGATAAGGAGGCATAGCATACATATGGTGAGCTACAATAATGGTCAAAGAGCCTAACATAGCTAGGTTAATAGATAATTGAGCATGCCATGACGTTGTTAGGATCTCATATAGACCTTTATGACCCTGGCCTGTAAATGGACCTTTATGGGCTTCTAAAATATCTTTTATACCATGACCAATACCCCAGTTAGTTCGATACATATGACCAGCAATGAGAAAAAGAATTGCAATAGCTAAATGATGATGTGCAATATCAGTCAGCCATAGACCACCAGTTAGTGGGTCTAATCCTCCACGAAAAGTAAGAAAGTCCGCGTATTTTGACCAATTCAAGGTAAAAAATGGGGTTGCTCCCTCAGCAAAACTTGGATAAAGTTGAGCCAAAAGATCCCGATTCAAGATAAATTCATGAGGAAGTGGGATCTCTTTGGGATCTACTCCAGCATTTAGAAATTGGTTAATTGGTAAAGATACATGTACTTGATGCCCCGCCCAAGAAAGAGACCCAAGTCCTAGTAGACCTGCCAAATGGTGATTCAACATGGATTCTACATCTTGAAACCAAGCCAATTTTGGAGCAAACCAACCAGCAAAAAGCATTAAGGCTGCAAAGACCAACGCACCAATTGCAGTACAATAGAGTTGTAATTCACTAGTTATTCCAGATGCTCGCCAAATCTGAAAAAAACCAGAGGTTATTTGTATTCCGCGGAAACCTCCGCCTACATCACCATTCAATATTTCTGGCCCACTATTGGCCAAACCACCTGGGCACTAGGTCGAATGTGAGTAGGATCATTTAGCCAAGCTTCATAATTGGAAAAACGAGCACCATGGAAATACATGCCACTCAGCCAAAGAAAGATAATGGAGAGTTGGCCGAAATGAGCACTAAATACTTTTCGGGAAATTTCCTCTAAATCACTAGTATGGCTATCGAAATCATGAGCATCAGCATGTAGGTTCCAGATCCAAGTAGTAGTATCAGGTCCCTTAGCTATTGTTCTTGAGAAATGACCAGGTTTTGCCCATTGCTCGAAAGAAGTTTTTATGGGATCCCTATCTACCAAAATTTTGACTTCTGGATCTACCAAAATTTTGACTTTTGGTTCCGGCGAACGAATAATCATTGAGTCCTCCTCTTTCCGGACAACACATACAAAGAGACCCGCCAACAGAAAACATAATTAATGAACTTATGAGAGATGTTTATATTGAATATCTTTCTCTTCTATCTCCCATATATCTATTCTATATTTTCTTTAGTTATTCACTAGAACAATTATGATCCGGAAGTTAATCCAGGGCAAGTGTTCGGATCTATTATGACATAGCAGTGAGGTGCTCAACGGACCCTTTTATTTGACTGATGGGGGCAATAAACTATAAAAAATTCAATATATATAATGGATTCTCTCTATATTTTATTCTCTATTAAAGAATAAAATATAGAGAATAATATTAGAATTCGAATAAAAAAAATAAAATAATAAAAAGACTGTTCTTATTCAAAACGCCCTGTGATCTTCAACCAATTCTGTGCCTCAATATAATTACCAGGGGTAAGGGCTATAGCTTGTTTCCAATATTCAGCAGCTTGATCAAACCAAGATTCTGAAATTTCAGAATCTCCCTGTCGAATGGCCTGTTCTCCGCGGTCGGAATAGGTGAGTAAAATCCTTCCCTTAGAACCGTACTTGAGAGTTTCCTGACTCATACGGCTCAACAGTCAATTCTTTTGATCTTCTATTTTTTCTGGAGTTAATAACAAGAAAAGAGGTTAATTACATGAGTTTTAAACTTGAATTTGGATTAATAATTCAATTTAACCCTTTGTTTTTAGTTTTATCTTTTTTCCTACCTTCTGAAGAATAAAGCATCGACATTCACACTAACGTTCTTATTCGAATTTTCTGAAAGGTAACTATCTCGATTTCATATATCATTTCATATATTTCATATATGATATATATATTTCTATAGAATCCTTGAGAAAGACTTTTCTTCATAAGAAAAGAGTTACTCTCTTTGGGATCTGATACTACACCGCTGCTCAAAACCTTAGGGGATCCACTTTATTACATAAGTCGATTCCTAATCTATCATCATATAAGTAAGCAGTTCTTGTTGTATCGGCCAAAAACCTTGTGAATTGATCTTTACGGTGCTTCCTCTATCAATTAGATCTTTTATCCATAGAAAAAAGTATCTAGGCATATATATTCTATTTCTTCAGATTTTTACTTCTATGAAGTTTCTTTCTTTGCTACAGCTCATAAAAAGCGTTGTTTCGAACGGATATATATGTAGAAAGCCTATTTTTCTTTTTTTGTCTAGTATTTCTTACTATTAGTGGAGGTTCTTTTCTTTTTTCTTTCTATAGTGGAGATAGTCGCACGTAATGACAGATCACGGCCATATTGTTAAAAGCTTGAGGTAAGAAAGGGTTTCGTTCGAGTGCCCGAAAATAGTATTCCAAAGCTTTTGTATGTTCTCCGTTACTTGTGTGGATAAGACCTATGTTATAAAGTATATAACTTCGATCATAGGGATCAATTTCCAGTCGCATAGCCTCATAATAATTCTGTAAAGCTTCCGCATAATTTCCTTCAGATTGAGCCGACATCCGTTACGGTCGTCATTCGGTTCAAAGAATCTCCGTTCCAGAACCGTACGTGAGATTTTCATCTCATACGGCTCCTCCTTTATGTGGATAATGATAAACATCCATGGAATCCAATCAAAAAAGATTGCAATATTCTCATTATCAACTGAGCGGGACTAGTGTTTTTACACGAAATCTCTAGCCAACCTTTCTGTAAAGGATCTTTTATTAACATTTAGTAAGTTATTACTGGATAATATAGTAACTTCAACAATTTATTTGTCCTCAACGCCGCTTCATTTCCCGGAATTAGTCACTTCAACAGTCTTCGATGGTTATATGGGTATCCAAAATACGAACGAGATGGATGTTTATTGTCCCAACCATTCTAGTTAGTCCCGATCCCGATAAGAAAGGAAGGATTTTTTTTACAAAGTTTTCTCCTGTTGTTGATTCCCTAGCGTAGTGCTTCTTCCCCCATGCCGCCTATTGGTACTAGTGGAGTAGGATTAACCTAACCCCATACATAGGTATAAATAGGTATAACCTTTCGCTTAATACTATACTAAAATTGAAGCATATTGAGGATGCATTAATCGGGAATACACGACAGAAGGGATTAATCGTTTTATTTCCAAACTTCACCTTCAGCAAGCGTAGGTTTTTTTTCAAAATTTTTTTATTTCTCTCTGAAGAATGTATCTTTCTCCTAAGACTGAGATCGGTAAAAAAAAAAGAATAATAATAATCAAATCGCACCATCTCTGTAATAAGTGAATGCCTCTTTTTCTCCAGAAGTTGTCGGAATTATTCGTAATAAGATATTGGCTACAATGGTAAAGGTCTTATCAATAAAATTTCCATTTATCCGAGATCTAGTCATAGGTAGCAAATCCATTCTAAAATTTTAGCATGATAAAATAATTCCCCAAACAGAGGAATTGTACAATACAGTACGAAATAACGTAAAAATGGACTTCTTAATCAAATTACTTTATTCTACGGTAGGCCTTGAAGTAGGTTTTTTTTTCAAAAAAAAAAAAATTCTTTCTATTTCTATTTTTTTAGTTTCAATTGATTGTGTGCGCGTACGCAAATGGGATATAAATGCCTCACTATTCACTCGGTTTAGGGGCATAATCATTATGTAGGAGAGATGGCCGAGTGGTTCAAGGCGTAGCATTGGAACTGCTATGTAGGCTTTTTGTTTACCGAGGGTTCGAATCCCTCTCTTTCCGC